CTTACCTTTCAAGAGTCAGTTCAGCCACCCACCCAGCTCCAAACATTTACTGAACCATCCCCTGTTCCAGGCACTTAGGACTCACCAGTATACAACCGAGACTCAATTCCCTGCCTCGAGTAGCTTATGTGATAGTGGGAACAGTCAAGAAACTGTATATAAATGAGTCAGTAACTTCTACAGCACATGAAAGGCAGTAAGTATTATGAAGAGGTCGATAGAGAAGGAAAACAGAGCTCAGGGGTGCTAGAGAGCAGGGTTGGTTGGCTTTGTCATTTTGAAATAGTCAGGTAGGCCTCCTGGAGAATGTGACAACAGATGAAAACCTAAAGGAGGCGAGGAAGATAGTCCTGCAGGTACTTGGGGGAAGAGCATGCCAGGCAGGGGACTGCACGTGCAAATGTTCTCAGCACCATTCCTGGTGAGCTCAGGAATCAGTGAGCAGCAAAACAAAGGAGTGAGTGAGCAGACCAGTGAGTAGGAGTGGAGGGACTGATCATGCAGAGATCCCTGTGGGCCACCGTGGGGGCGTCGGGCACTGCAGGGTTGCGCAGAGGCAATGCATGGTCCAACTTCTGATTTCAAAGCTGCTGCATTGAGAACGGAGTGCGGTGGACAGATGGAGAGGCACAGACACCTGGCAGGGCCTGTTGCAGTAACTCTAAGAGGTGATGGCAGCTTGAACACAGCGGTAGCAGTGAAGTGAGAAGTGGGGAGAAGAGGCTTAAATCTGGACACATTTTGAAAATAGATCCAATAGGACTGATTGGTAGATTGGACAGAGTAAGAGAGAAATAATATTTCTGTGTTTTTTTTCTTATTAAAATCTAAGCTAGAAGTGCATGTTCCAATTCATCAGTGTCATAATGATTTTTTCCATCTTTCACTCTGCACTATGCTGTCTGAAGGCAGAAGAAGTACAGTAAACTCAAATTTGCAGATCTCGATTTAATGGACTTTGAATCTAATGAACAAAATTTCTGGTCCTATGTCATGTTAATTAAATAATTTTTTTTTAATTGACTTTAGAGAGAGAGGAAGGGAGAGAGAGAGAGACAGAGATAGAAACATCGATCAGAGAGAACATCAAGTGGCTGCCTCCTGCATGCCCCCCCCACTGGGGATCAGGCCCACAACTTGGACATGTGTCCTGACTGGGAATCGAACCAGTGACCTCTTGGCGCATGGGTCGATGCTCAATCACTGAACCACACCGGCTGGGTAAAAATTAACACCCTGTTAATTTTAAAATGCTTTTAACCAAGATTTGCTTATAATTAAATTAACAGGTTATTTTTTGTTATTAGTTTACTGTTATTTTAAACATATTTTAGCAAATAGGATATATGTTGGAAATATGTAGTAATTTCACCGATATAAGTAAATATTACATATTTACAACTATAGTCTACATATTTAAATCCAAGAGTCAGTACTTGTTAACAATGTTTGGCAAATGATAAGCACATGATCACACCGCATCCCTCTTAGTAATTGGCTCTGTTGTCATGAAGTGTGACTCTCTGCAGCAATTTTAACCTGTGCTGTGTGCGAAACCACGCCCCAGCCATGAGCATTTGTTTACTCAAGGTGACTGGTGAATGAACGCATTTACTAGACTTACTCAGTATAAGTTTAAAATTACAGTACTACATATAGGAAACTTTTCTGTGAAATTATACTTTCATTCATACTTAATTTACCTTACCTAAATGTGTCTACATAAGTAAAAACAGGCAAACTGACTAATTTTCAATTTTAATACATACATTTGGAAAAACCTACTTTTTTTTTTATCCTCACCCGAGGACATTTTTTTCCATTTTTTGTTCAGATAGAGTGGGAGGGGGAGAGAGAGAGAGAGAGAGAGAGAGAGAGAGAGAGAGAGAAACATCGACGTGAAAGGGACACATTGAGTGGCTGCCATCCGCACCACCCAACCAGGGCCGGGGACAAACTGCAACCGAGGTACATACCCTTAGCGGGAACCGAGTCCGGGTCTCTCTGGACCGCAGGCCAGTGCTCCAACCGCTGAGCCAAATCAGCCAGGGCTAAACCTACTTTTTAAGAAAAAAATTTTTTTCCCTTTATTGATTTTTGAGGGAGAGGAAGTGAGAGGGAGAGATAGAAACATGGATGAGAGAGAACATCGATTTGCCACCTTCTGCGTGCCCCCCACTGGGGATCGGTCCCACAACTTGGGCATGTGTCCTGACTGGAAGTCAAACCAGTGACCTCTTGGTGCATGGGTCAATGCTCAACCACTGAGCCATCCCGGCTGGACGAAAAACCTACTTTTTTATATAACAGACTTAGGCTTTACCAATACTCCGTTGCCCAAATTAGTCTGTTATATAGAGGTTTCACTGTACAGGTATACACCTGTACATTCCCACTGTCAACTGCCACATTCAAGAAATACTTTCAGAATAATGACCATTAAACGTGGCAGGTCAGAATTCACATTTGGACTCAATCCTGTCTTTAGCATCTCCCTACTAAGTTAGGTTTTGCCTCAAGTACGCAAATAGATGTCTGTAGAGGCTGGTCGTTCTCCCAATGAAGAGTTCAGGCTCCACCTGTGGTCTCCCTTTCATGGCTGGATTCATTTTCTTTCTTTTTATTTATTTAAATTTATTGGTGTAACATTGGTTAATAATGTTGACATAAGAAATGTCCAAAAACAAAAAAACCCTCCAGATCTGCAGAGTTTATTTGAACCAAACTCAACAATTGCCAGGAAGCAAAATCTCAACAGATTGAGAAAATGCTCCTGAGAATGGCAGTTTTGCAGCTTATTTTATACATTAGAATCAAAGGAGATGTAAGGGGTGAGGGAGGGGGTATGTATGAAATGCATTGGCTGTAGATTAGGGACGCGGGAGGAAGCAAAGCAGGGAAATCTCTGGGAGTGGACAAAAAGTAAAACGGAGAGACACACACTTGTTTTATATTGGTGGGTACAGGACAGTTAACATTTACAGCATGTAGAGATGGTGTTCGGGAACGAGATAACAATGAAGGGTTCTGTGGTCTTGAGTTCTGGTGGGAGGCTGGGCCCTGAGGGTTCTGGAAAAGGGGGACACCACTGACATTCCAAAGGTAAGTTATTATAGATGTAAAAGACAACAGACAGGCTCACTTAAGGTAAAGATTGACTTTTGTCAATCAAGTTATAGGCCTAGGACATGACTACCTGCCATGACTTGCTTTTAGTTAAAAATCTTTATGTTCAGACTATCCTATGTGGTCACTTGTGGTCTCTGAATCTGTGAGGCCCAGGATACAGGCCTCCCCTGAGTTTGTCAGGTTTAGTATGTGGTCCCCTTTTTGTTCACACTAACATTATATACATTTCAAGCATACAATTCTGTAATACATCATCTGTTGCATTGTGTGCTCACCTTCTCAGTGTAGTTTGCCTCCCTCACCATCTATTTGACCCTCTTTACTTTCTTCATCCTCCCCCCATCCTGGATTAGTTTTCTATTTCTGTGTAACATTACCAAAACTCCCACGGTTTAGGAGTCCAGGCATGTGGGTCCTCCACTAGGGTCTCAGAGGACTACAGTCACGGTATCAGTCAGACTGGATTCTCACCTGGAGGATGGGCTGGGGAAGAATTCATGTTGTAGGCAGTTGATTTCTCTGTGGGTGTGAGGCTGGAGAGTTAGATATTAGGAGAATTTTTTTGACAAGTGGGTAAAGGGAAATAGACAGATGGTTAAATAAATGGGGCCAAACAATTTGAGCAATCTACAGCCTGCTAATAAATTGTAAGATCTTATCTTCCCTAACCAAGGACACTTGAGAGCAAGTCGTTTACACTTCTCCTGAACCAGAGAGTAAATAGCATAAACCACCCTGGTCAGGCAGATAGATAATGAGAATCAGTTAGTGTCATTAGTGCCAGCCAAACCCTAGAACAGATGAAGTCAGGGTAATAAGTAACAACAACAACAACAAAAAACCCAATTAGGACGAAACAAATCCAAGATAGAGGTAAAACTCACCAGAAAATGACCCTGGTCCCTCTGCTCATTTTGGCATATCAGCATATTAAAGAATACAACTGATGAATATTCTGCTGAGACCCTCCCCTAGGACCTCCCCTAGCATGCCCATCTTTAGAAAACAGATAAGAACCCTCAAAACAAAGGACCCAGCAGCAGCGCTCTGCTTGGACCATGCCCATGCGCCTCCTGGGGCCTGTACTTTTGTTCTTTCTCCTAAACTCTAAGGGTTCCCAGGAGACTTGCAACCAAGGCAGCAGTGGGCAGTGACAGCTCGTCCAGGGCTGACTCTGAGCCTCTCCAAGGCCCCATTTTCTCCTGACTTTCCAGTGAGCTAATAGCAGCCCCACCTTGGCTCACTTCTGTCACTGTGACCTTCATTTCCCTGTTTGCTGACAGCGGTCCGCCTCGGCTCACTTCTTTCCCATAGGTTTCCAGGGAGCCAGAGCAGCGCCACCCTGGCTCGCTGTTGCTTCTTCAATGCGAAGCCCTTCCCTGTTTCACTGTCCCCAGCTTTAATAAATGTACCCTCATAATCACCTGGACTGGCGATGTGAAATCTTTCCTGCACGAAGTCGAGACCCCACACACTACAGGCCGGGTGGGAAGCTCAGGGCGGTTCCTTTCTGGGGACAGTTGTAGGGTGGAGGGCTCCAGCTCCTGGCTGGCTGTTGGTTGGGGAGGAGGCCTCCATTTCTAGAGGCCACATCAGCGCTTTGCTACCTGAGCTTCTCCAACATGCCTGCGTACTCCATCGAGCACACAGCAGAGCCTGCAGTCTGTTACGAAGTGTCATGTAACAGAAAGCGATCACAGGAGTGAGATCCCACAAGTCAGATCAGGCCCGCGCTCCAGGAGGGCCTTCCCTGCCGCCTGGGCGAACGCGCTGCAGGTCCGCCAGCGCCCAGAGGGCGGCGCCGGCGTCCGTCCCCCCCGTCCGGACCGCTGCGCCCGGCGACCCGGCCCACGACGTCGGCCCTTCTGCAGGCGGCGGCGCGATGGCGGACGTGTCGGAGAGGAAGCTGCAGCTGTCCGTGCTGCTGGCCTTCGCCTCCGGGGTGCTCGTGGGCTGGCAGGCCAACCGGCTGCGCAGGCGCTACCTGGACTGGAGGAAGCGGAGACTGCAGGACAAGCTGGCGGTGACGCAGAAGAAGCTGGACTTGGCCTGAGCCCGGCTCCGCGCGCCCACCCCGTGTTGCGGGGCGCCCCGCCTGAGTCAGGCCCCTGGCCCCCCGCCCGCCGCTCGGGCTCCTCCTCAGCCGGTGAGCAGTAGAGGGGCGCCGAGGGGAGACTTGGGAGTGGGGTGGCGGCCTGGGGCAGCTCGCAGGAGTTGGCTTGCTCCCAGAGACCCCAGAAAGAGGAGGCAGCTTGGTTCCCCCCCGTGACTTGCACGGGTGTCCGAGCTCAGTCCACTGCGTGTGTGTACCGGGAATTACTTACCACGTGCAATGTCTCTGCATTGAATTTAAGATGTAAATACTGGAAAAAGCGAAAGGAAAGAAAGAACGTACCGAGGTGTCCCTGCTCCCCCACACCTCTGTTTATCATTCGTTTTAGTAATATCCTCGGTAGCACCGTAGTCTTTGCATTCGCGTTTTGTAATCTTCAGTCTGAATCCTTAGGTTGTTGGCAGCCTGGCAAAATGTGAAGGGCAGTGGCTTGGAAGTCGGGAGTCTTGCGTCTAGTCCTGGCTTTTTCATTTTTTCATCGAAGCTGTGCAAATGTTCAGGGTCTCAGTTTTCTTACCTGTAACACGAGGTCTTGTAATTCATGGTTTAGCTCTGCAACAGGATACGTTGAAGTTAATGATTATGTATTTCTCTTTTTTCCCCCCTTTTTTCTGTTTCCAATAGCTTGTTGAAGATGGATATACAACACTGGACAGAAATTACTTCTCCTTGTACTTATGCATCAATTTTATTTTTAAAATAAAATGTTAAATATTTTTGAACTTGTTATGAAAAGGAAAAGAAGTCTTGCTGGCCCTGCAGTTCACCACATCAAGAGCTCTGGATTCTCAAAACTATATATTAGCGTCTTTGAGCAGATGCCATGCTTCCTAAGGAATCTATGCTAGTTCCTTGGTACAGCTGCAAAGCACAGTTGGCCTGGGCACCATTCTGAGTCCTTTTGGTTAGTTGTTTACAGGACCTGGGAGAGTAAGAAAGAGGCTGTGTAAAAATAACTGAGGTAAGGGTGATGTATGTAAGACATTTGTGCTTCCAGGAGTGACAACATACTCCAAGTCTGGAGTATATGTTTTTATTGGCAAACATTTCATTTGTGTCATTATGGAACATGCAGGTGAAGGAGAAACCCTCTTGGTAGAGCTTAGTGATAAATCCCGACTATAGGTGGAAATCAAGAGGGAGAGATCAAGTCCCTGGTTATTTTTGGATTTGCAAGAGGTGTTTTCTAGAACACTGCCCTTGCTCATTGCTGTAAAGGTTAATTTTGTGCCAGCCAATTTAATGGCAGCTTCATGTTAACAAAGAAATTCAGAAGTTTCTACAGAAAGCTTTCTCCCCTCATTTTACCGGGGTCATTATGCTTTGTTACTTCCGACCTTATGTTCATTCTGTGAATGCAGTACTCAAGGACTGAAATGCTGGTTCTTAGACCTCTGTCCCATCTGGGCTGCAGTTTGCTGAAGTGTCCTAGCCACCCTTACTCACTGGGGTTCTGGGAGTTGAGGCTCTTTGAGACAAGGTAGGTTTCTTAAGGCACATGGTATTCCCAGACTGTTGCTTTGTGCCCAGGTACGAGTCTGGGTTATGACCAGTTCTGTGTGTTTGGCCTGTTCATGTGCTGTGTTAACTGTGGACCTGATTGTTCCAGTGGTGCTTCCTTTCCCATTACGTATTTGTAGTCCCCTGACACACTCATCTCCCTCTCCTGTCTCACCTCAGTGTTCTGTCATCCCTGCCCCTCTGGGCATGTGCTGCTTACTCCGCCCCCCCCCGCCCCCCCAGCCCAATCTAGGTGCTTCTGTGGCTTTTCGCCACCCCATGCCACTCCTAATCGTTCCCTTGTTTTCTGCTTACTGCCTCTTTACACTGTGGCTGTGTCCCTAGCTCTGTGGTGGGCATTTCCCCTTGACATTGTCTCTGTGGCCATTTCTCCTCTAGCCCTCTACCCGTTGCCCTACTTAAATGTGTTTGTTTTTCCCCCTAAAAAGGTTGTCTCACATGGAGATGTTGCTTTTCCTTCCTAGCTAAAATTGGCAGTGAGGAGGTTGGGAGATGGGTTATGATGCCAGTCATATATCCTGGAAATGACAAACTGCCAGCGTCCAACCCCACTATTTTATTTTATTTTTATCCTCACCCGAGGATATTTTTTTTCCATTTTTTGTACAGATAGAGTGGGAGGGAGAGAGAGGAAGGGAGAGAGAGTGAGAAACATCGACGTGAAGGGACACATCGAGTGGCTGCCACCCGCACGACCAACCAGGGCCGGGGACAAACTGCAACCGAAGTACGTGCCCTTAGCGGGAACCGAACCCGGGTCTCTCCGGACCGCAGGCCAACGCTCTAGCCGCTGAGCCAAACCGGCCAGGGCTAACCCCACTATTTTAATTAAAAAAAATGTTTTTATTGATTTTTTGAGAGAGAGAGGAAGGGAGAGAGAGATAGAAACATTGACGTGAGAGAGAAACATCCATTGGCTGCTTCCTGCACGCCCCCTACTGAGGATTGAGCCCACAATCCAGGCATGTGCCCTGACGGAATCAAACCGAGGACCTCTCAGTCCATGGGACGATGCTCAATCTGCTGAGCCATACCAAGTGGGCATCCAACCTCACCATTTTGATGTTGATGCTGTTCCAGGACTCACAAGGAATAAATGTTTGTAGCTCTGAATATGGTACAAAATGTATAAAATCAGTCACCTGGGGTGAACAAGCGTGATAAACTGTTTTGCATTCTTCTCATTGCTCATATGTATACACATATGTTGGGAGTTTATTTTTTCCCAACATAGAATTACACTAAACTATATTCATAACCCTGTAACTTTTCCACTTAAAAAATGAAATCCCTACAAATCTGATATGGGATATTTTTTCCTAATTTATTTATAGTTTAAAGTAAATAAGGATTTCATAAATGATGGATTGTCTTTAGTGCATTTTTTTTCTTTTTTCTTACCTCTTACAAAACCACTTAGAAGTACTGATTTATCAGTACAACTTTGGGAAAATAGGTAGTGTCTTTTAAACCTGAATGTAAAACATGGCCTGTGGCCCAGCATTGTCCACATACATACCCCGTGTATGTATGTAAATAGTAGCACTAGTTATAATAGCCCTGAACTGGAAACTACCCACATGTCCAGCAACAGCAGAAGGAATGAGTCTGAGTACATCACACAACTAAATACCAGGATGAAAAAACTGCAACACACACACAGTGATACAAGTGTATTGTACAAACACATTTGAATAAAAAGCCAGGCGAGCTGCCAGGACACACAGTTCAAAAAAGCAAAACAAGCTTTTGATGTTAGCAATTACTTTTGACATGGAAGGAGCAGAGGTGGGTAGGGTCTAGGAGGAGATTACTAGGGTTCTGGTAATGTTCTGTATCCTAATCTGGGTGATACTATGTGAGGGTGTGTTCAGTGTGAAAATTCAGAGAGATGGACACTGATCTCTTTTCTTTATATTATACTTGAAGATGCTCTGGCCAGTTTGCTTAGTGGTTAGAGCATCGGCCCACAGATCATAGGGTTGTGGGTTTGATTCCTGATCAAGGGCATGTACCTAGGTTGCAGGTTTGATCCCTGGCCTCGGTCTGGGTGTATGGAGGGAGCAATCAATCAGTATGTCTCAATTAATGTTCTCTCTTCCCCTCCCTCTACCCTCTCTAAGAATCAATGGAAAAAATGTCCTTGGGTGAGGATTAACAACAAAACCACATAAATACCATGGCAATTGGGCCTGTGTACTAAACATTTATATTAGCGTGGTTCATCATTTGAAAAGTGAATTCAGATAATTTTTCTTATTCAGTGTTGTGGAAAGAGTTTGGGAATTGGATTTATAGGATCCCATCCCACTTGGGGAAATTTTATTACAATCTGAGAATAGATGTAAACTTGACACCAAATGCAGGTTTGGCTGCCTGCTGCAACAAAAGCCAAACTCGTGAGACAGGCACTGTGAGAAGGAAAATGGTTTATTGAAGTGTGGGTGACCTGAGATGGCGTACTCCTGTCCCAAAAATCATCTCATCTCAGTCAAGACAGCAATTTTTACAAGGTAGGGGGGAGGGGACATTGTGGACATGGAGAGAAACTTAGGATGGGCAAGCTGCCTTCTTGGTGGTCCAGATATAGATCTTCACTGTCAGCGTTCTGGAACTGGTCAGGGTTAGCCAAATTCCTGTGGCTGGGTGATTTGGGGTCAGGCCGGTTCTTATTCACATGGGAACTGGAACTGCTCAGTCCTGCAGGGTGCTTGTAAGTAAACTGTTAGTATATAACAGTTTATGAGTTTTGTTGTGTTAATGTATTTTATTCTGGTTATTTTATAGTAGCAATAATACAAAAATTTCAATATTTATTGTCGGAACCTATATTGGCTTGTTACTGTTCTAGTTTTCCCTAAAGTTAATATATTTAATTTTATGTGGGTTAAAATATTTTTTATTAGAACTAATTTAATTCATGTTAGGATCCTTTTAAACTCCATGTTCTGACCAAGTTTAGTATTATCAGTCCTGTATAAGTTACAGTACATTTGAAAAGTGAGGTATATGTTCATGGCTACAAAATGGGGATCATAATTATTTGCTCACAAGCTTGCTGTAGAACAGACATAATCACAAAACTAAATAGAATCGAGAGACTTCAGCAATACCCCAAATGGCAAAGAACTAAAAACTGCCTTCTGAAAGGCGAGTATGCAGAACTGTGTATCCCATGGGGGCCAAGGAGGAAATTATCCTTGCAGTTCATTGAAGAGTTTAAGATGCTTAAATGGTATCAGAAGGTTGGTTTAGCAAAACTGCCCGCAGAAATCGAGTGGCCTAACACCGGGGCGCCCCGCATTCATGTGGCAATACGGCGGTATCGTGGGACGTGCAGTTTCGGGCGCCGTGGGAACCCTCACCTCCACCCCGGCCTTAGGGCTGGCCAGTCAACGTCGACCACCTGCGCAAGGGCCTCAGCGCTCCGGCCCGCGGCGACGGAGAGCACGCGACAGACGACCACTTCCGGTCCAGTCTCCGCCAGCCGGCGCAGCGTAGGGCTGTGAGGCGGCCGCACGCTGATGGCGTCACCTGGTGACGTCCCATGCAGGGGCCGCGGAGGCGGTTTCCCTGGCGACCGGCGCGCGCCAGTCGCGGAGGCGCGGAGATGCGGGCGCAGCGGGCGCAGCGGGCGCAGCGGCCGCGCGACCCCCTGCAGTCCCTGCAGCGCCGTGACCAGGAGCTGAAGCAGCAGGTATACCCGGCTGTTCCTCGGGATGGGTCGTGGGGTGGCCGGGCTTTGGCTGGGCGAAAGCTGGGTGTCCGAGTCCTGGGAGCCGGCCTGACCCGCGACCTTCCCCGCTGTAACGCTTCCATTCCAGCTTCTCTCTCCAAACCCGGCTCTGACTCCTCATCCTCCCAACCCGACCTCCGAAATGGTGACCTTCGGCTGAGCGCCCTCACCCTAACATTTCAGCTTCCGAACCTAACACCTCCCTAGCCCCCCTCACTTCCCAATCTAACCGTTGAACAGTAACCATTTCCAACCACGTCTGCTCCCAGCGCCACCCTGCACTCCCGGCCCCTCCCTCCGCCTCCTCTGGTGGAGGCTGTTGCAGCTTCGGTGAACTCCAGCGAAATGCGACTCGTCCAAGAATAGTCCTAATATGTAAGGGCACAGGACTTGAACTAAGAAGAAATACAAATATCTAATATGTATGAGAAAGGAAAGATATCTTGAACATTGTAATTTAATTATTTTTAAAAAATGTTCTTATTGGTTTTAGGGAGAGCGGAAGGGAGAAACACCCGCACATGCTTTGACGTGGAAGGGCCGTCGCTCTAACCACTGAGCAACACCACCGGGCTCTTGAACATTTTGAAAATCACAATATTCAGTGGAGAGGGTGTGATGAAACAGGCACCTGCTCACACTGCTCTGGTGTATAAAGGACAGTGTTTTGGGGAAGAAGTTTGATAAAATGTAGCAAATATTCATGCTCCTAGGCTGGATGGTTACGGGTTCCAGGAATTTAACACACATAATCACAAAGTTAGGGCAGATATTAATGTACAAAACTGTTCATCACAGTTTACTCGTAATAGAAAAGACTGGCTATAACTTAAATGGGGAATGATATATATAACAGGATAGGCTATAATACTGTGATTAAAATTTTGTTAGAGCCCAGCCAGTGTGGCTCAGTGGTTGAGCTTCAGCCATGCACCAAGAAGTCCCAGGTTCAATTCTGGTCAGGGCACATGCCCAGGTTATGGGCCAGATCCCCAGTGGGAGGCATGCAGGAGGTGGCCAGTCCATATTCTCTCTCATTGATGTTTTTGTCTCTCTCTCCCTTTCCCTTACTCTCTCATTAAAAACCAATAAAGAAAAAAAAAACATTTTGTTAAGGATTTTAATGTGTTAGTAAACTATTTGTGATAAAATTTCAGCTTAGAAATACATAAATTTGTACAATATTTCAATAAAATTTATATATATATGTAGATAAATTGAAGGAACTATGCTAGGATGGTAACTGTGGTAGCATGCTGATGATTATTATGTTTCTTTCCATACACTTTGATATTTTCATGATTTTGAATACCAAATATATATTACTTAAAAAAATTGCCTGGACAAGTGTTGGCGAGGGTGTGGAGAAAAGGGGACTCTAGTACACTGCTGGTGTCAATGCAGACTGGTGCAGCCACTATGGAAAACAATATGGTGTTACCTCAAAAAGTTACAAATTGAACTTCCATTTGACCCAGTGATCCCGCTTCTAGGAATATACCCTAAGAAGCCTGAAACATCAATCAGAAAGAATATATGTACCCCCATGTTCGTAGCAGCACTATTTACAATAGCTAAGATATGGAAATAGCCCAAATGTCCATCAGTAGACAAATGGATAAAAAAGTTGTGGTACAGCCCTGGCTGGTTTTGCTCAGTGGTTAGAGCGTTGGCCTGCAGTCCAGAGAGACCTGGGTTTGGTTCCCGCTAAGGGTGCGTACCTTGGTTGCAGTTTGTCCCCGGCCTTGGTTGGTTGTGCAGGTGGCAGCCACTTGATGTGTCTCTTTCACATTGATGTTTCTCTCTCTCTCTCTCTCTCCCTCCCACTCTATCTGAACAAAAAATGGAAAAATGTCCTCGGGTGAGGATAAAAAAAAAAGCTGTGGTACATATATACAATGGAGTACTACACAGCTGTAAGAAAGATAGCTCTCTTATCCTTAGAGACGACATAGAGGGACTGGAAAGTATTATCCTAAGCGAAACAAGCCAAACAAAGACAAGTATCATATGATCTCACTTATTTGTGGAATATAATGAACATAACAGTCTGAGGAATGGGGTTGTCCCAGAGACGTGGAAGTGGGGTACAGACTGACAATCCCCAGAAGAGGGGGTGGAGGGGGGGAGATAAACCACAGAACTTATATGCATGTATGCATGAACAATGGACATGGACAACAAAGCTGGGGACAGGGGGAGGAGGAAGGGGGAGGGGGAATCAGTGGGGGAAAAAGGAGAAACATCTGTAACAAAAATAAATTTTTAAAAAAAGTAGCAAGGATAGCCTGGCTGTTGTGGCTCACTGGTTGAGCTTCGACCCATGTACCAAGAGGTCACCAGTTTGATTCCCAGTCAGGGCACATGCCCAGGTTGTGGGCCCAATCCCCAGTGGGGGGCATGCAGGAGGCGGCCAATTGATGTTCTTTCTCATCGATGTTTCTATTTCTCTCTCCCTTCCTCTTTCTCTAAAAATCAATCAAAATATTTTAAATATTTTAAAAATATTTATCCCCCAAAGATTTGATGGATAAATAAGTGACTCTATTGGAATTTTAGTGGTGCAGCAAAAACAAAATATTCTTTTGGTGGAAATAGAAATAAAACTTGAGGCATTAACTTAAGCTGAGCTTTGGCTAGATATTTAATATGGGTCTGTATCTAATTATAATTCAGTGCAATATTGGGAGAATAACAAAAGTTGTTATTAAAACAAAACAAACTGTTAAGGATTGTTTAGCCTGGAAAAGAATTGGCTCAGGAACTTTTGATACCCTGAATGTCTGTGAAGGGCTCTTGGATAGTGTGAGCTCATTCTTCCCTGTCCCTCTAGAGGACACATAAAGCAAAACACGGGAAGAATTTCCAAGTTGGTGTCCAGGGGACATGAGCTCAGCTCAGTCATGCCTGTGATGACTGTCACTGGGTATGTGAATGTTGTAATTAACACTCAAGACAGATGCAGAATTCCAAGAGTAGAGAAGAAGCTAGTGAACTTAACTCTTTCTTCACCTACTTTATCTTTGCATCATTTATAGAAAAGAACCCAACAGAACCCAAGAGAAATACGTGGCTCTTTTGTGGGTCTATTGGCAGAATTACATGTAGAGTTTGGAAAATACTAAGTCATGGTGTAAGATAGAAGAATGAGGCCCTGGCCAGTTTGGCTCAGTGGTTGGAAGTTTGATTCCCATTCAAGGGCTCATACCTGGGTTGCAGGTTTGATTCCCTGCCCTGGTCCAGGTCATGTGAGGGGCAGCCAATCTATGTGTCTCTCTCACATCAATGTTTCTCTCTCCTTCCCTTCCACTCTTAAAAAAACAACAACAACAACAAAAAACCAATGGGAAAATATCCTTGAGTGAGGATTAACAACAAAAACAAAAAGAGGATAAACAAATGTGTGGTATATTCATACAATGCATACTACTCTGCATTAGGAAGGAATAGACTAATGATGCACACAACAGACAATATGGAAGTATTAAAAAACAAACTTTGTGAAAGGACTGTACAAAAGTACGTACTTCCTGGGCATGTTCTGGGATAATGGTACTTTTCTATATGTTGATGGGGTTTGGGTTACATGGGTGTAAACAAATGTTTATTTAAGATTCGTGCATTTCATTGTATGTTAATTTTACACCAAATATTCAACTCTAGTTAGTGATGCCATGGTGCATTATTTAGGGGTAAATGTGTTGATGATTGCAGTTTACTTTGAAACAGTTTACTTTGAAGATGGACTGATGAATAGATGGATCAAATAAATGTAAGTATAGCAACATGTTAATGGTAGAATCTAGCTGGTGGGTATATGGGTGTTCACTGTATACTTCTTTCTACTTTATTGTATATGTTTATCCTAAAATATTGGGGAAAAGATTAAAATTTTATTTCCTAAGGTTACATGGTGTTTAAGAACATGATATTTTAAACAGTCTCCATTTATTGTAGATTGATAGTTTGCTTTCTGAGAGTCGATTGAAAGGAACTCTAGAAGCCAGTAAAAGGCGAGATATTTACCAAAGGTAAAGCATACTAAATTTTATAAGCTTTCTAAGAACTGTACTTGCATTGCAATGAGCCATGTTTACAGCAGAGAAACTGTTTGGGGCATTATTTCTTTCCTTTTGTTAAATTAGTAAAATTGAAAAACTAATAATAAGAAATAATACTGAGGTAACAATGAACTTTTTCAAAATGTATTTAAAAATATTTCTTGCAATTATCTTTATCAGGTCTAAATATAGGAATGATAAGATTAAATTGAGGATTACAAATGTTAAAAAGGGAAAAATGAAATTTTTTTGTACTTCGTATGTACCAAGCAGTGTGGGTCCTCACTCTAAAACCATTTCTTAATTAATTTTCACAATATACCATGAGAAAATTAAGGTTCACAGTGGTTAGTTGATTTGTCTAACATTACTGTGCTATATAAGACATGAAAGTAGAGAGGCAATATGAATGTTTTAGGTTTGCTAAAAATGCAGGGTTCAGCCAAGCAGGGAAAGGTTGTTGCTGAGTGCAGTGGGGAAGCAGGCTTGGTCCACTTGAATCCAGTGGAAGAATGACATGTGGCCTAACTTGGAGCTAGGAGGAACCACCCTAACTGAAGGCTGTGGGCTTGCTGTTGTGACGGCGACTACAAAAACTGCTCTGAGTGAACTCCAGGGCTTAGCAGGATTATGGGTGGTCCTTGGCCTGTGTAGCCCCAGATCCTGTGACCTGGTCAGAAATCTCTATCAACAGTTCCGGCTCCTTTAAGGTGGGAAAACTGGCCCTGGCTGGTTTGGCTCAGTTAGTTGGGCCTCCTCCCTTGCACCAAAAGGCTGCTGGTTCTATTCCCAGTCAGGGGGAGTGCAGGAGGCAGCCAATAGATGTCCTGCTCTCACAAGGATGTTTCTTTTTCTCCCCCCACCTCTAAAAATCAATAAAAATTTTTTTTTTTTTTTTTTTAAAAAGGTGGGAAAACTGTTCTCTTGGTGGATAAGTACTTTTGTTTTCTTTAGACTTCTTTTTTTTTTTTATCATCCTTACCCGAGGACATTTTTCCATTTTTTGTTTAGGTAGAGTGGGAGGGAGAGAGAGGAAGAGAGAGAGAGAAACATGTGAAAGGGACAATCGAGTGGTCGCCACCCGCACAACCAACCAGGGCCGGGGACAAACTGCAACCGAGGCACGTGCCCTTAGCGGGAACCGAACCCGGGTCTCTCCGGACCACAGGCCGATGCTCTAACCGCTGAGCCAAACCGGCCATGGCTCTTTAGCCTTCTTTTTAATCCTTGGAAAAGTTTAAAATTAAGTATAGTTTAAAATTATATAGTCATGATGAACTAAATTTAATTAGATTATGAATACTTTTGTATTGTTTAGGACATCATTAAGATAATCTGAGTTAGGGGTATTTAAAGAACTTATAACATTCAAAAGAGCGTGAGATTCATTCTATTAGTTTAAATGATTCATTAGAATCATTTGAAAAACTTTTACCTAAGTCAGGCTTTCAAAATGCTTAAAAGCAAAATTAAATTTATATGTATTTAAAAATGTCTAAGGGAATTTAATTAACTACATTTACTAGTAGGATTGATTGTTTAAGGAATTTAGGTCAAGTTGAATTACTTAAACAATAATGAAAGAAAAAGTGAAGGTGATTGTACTTGTTTTACTAGATTTAAAAACAAGAAGATTTATAGGCTGAAAATGAAGCCCCAGGGAAAACTAGGTTTTTACATTTTATTTTAATAAACTAATTTTTTAAACCCAACTAATCATAAAATAGCCTTTTCTGTGTATAAAAATACCTTCTCACAGCCATTTAAAAAATTTACATTGAGATTTGTATGTCTGAAAATGTATTTTAGCCCTTATGTTTGATTAATAATTGGCTGGAGGGAGATAGCGTAAAAATAATTTCTACTCAGACCTTCGAGACATTGTCAGGTTTCTTTGCACCCAGTGATGCCAAGTTTGATGACCATTCCTTTCTAACTGACCTGTTGGGGCTTTTCTTTTCAGCCTTGACATTTTCAGATTTTATCACGTCTTTGTCATTTTTATCTTGCTCAGCACTCAGTGCATCTTATTGTTTCTTAATCCTCACCCAAGGGTATGTTTTTTTCCAAATTGATGAGAGATGAGAGAGAGAGAGAAACAGAGAGAGAGAGAGAGACAGAGAGAGAGAGAAAGACAGAGAGAGAGAGAGAGAGAGAGACATCAATCAGTTGCCTTCCATAATGTGGCCAACCAGGGATGGAACCCCCAGCCTAGGTATGTGCCTTGATGGGGAATCGAACCTGCAGCCTTTTGGTGCATGGGGCACTGCAACCAACTGAGCCATCTGGCTAGGGTTCAGTGCATTTTTTCAGTTTGAAAACTTGTCTCTCATGAGCTCTAGGAGATTTTCTTTTATTAAAAGATAAGTTTTTAATTTTGTGTATTTGTTTCTTTCTGAAATTTGATTCAGGGAGCCTCCTGGACTGTTCTTTTGGTCTCTTATTTCTCCATTAATAATTTTTGTTTCTTTGTCTTTTTGTTTTCGCCTCAGAGATTCTTTTGACTTTTTCTTTTAACTTCCTGTGGAATGTTTGATTTCAGTAGATACATTGGGAAATTACAAGTGTTTTTTTTTTTTTCTTGTTCTTTTTCATAGCATCATGTTCCTATTTTCAGATTATCTCCTTACTACTTTCATGATTAGGAGATTTCATTATTATTATTATTATTATTTTTTTTGTGTGTGTGTGATTAGGAGATTTAAAAAAACACTTTTCTTCTGTTCTCTGAGTTGTCTTTATTTAATGTGGATTAGCCTTAAATTTTATCTTCCATGTTGCCAGTTTTCTTTATTATGTCCGATGGTCCTTGGGCTATCCATCTTTATTTAAGAATGAGGGACTAGGTTGATTATTCTAGAGAGCCACCATAGGCTTTTCTACTGTTGTATATCCTGGTCTCTTTCCTACTGATACTACCCCTGAATGAGAATGAAGTTTTCTGTCTGTAGTGGGCAGGGATTGCTAGGGGGCTGGGAATGAGCCTTTAGCCTGAGGCCAAGTGTTAGAATAGGGTGGGCTGTAACCCTGGTGTACAGAGAAGTTCTTTAGCACCTATAATTCTCCCCAGGTTGTTAATTAATTTTTTATTTTATTTTTTTTAATCCTCACCCGAAAATATTTTTCTTCAGATAGAGTGGGCAGGAAGGAGAGAGAGAGAGAGAGAGAGACATACATTGATGTGAGAGAGACACATCAACTGGCTGTCTCCCGCACGACCCCCACCAGGGCCGGGAACTGCAACCAAGGTACATGCCCTTGACCTGAATCAAACCCGAAACTCATTGGTCTGTGGGCCAACACTCTAACTGCTGAGCAACTGCCCAGGGCAATTTTCTTTTTTTGTTTTTTTAGAGAAGAGTCCTCTGGAGAGGAGGGACAGCAGAAAGGGATGAGGGAAGAGAAAGGGGAGCTGTCAGGCTCTCTGTAAACAGACTTTTTAAAAGTCAAAGACTTTTAAAAGTTTGGCTCAGCGGTTAGAGCATCGGCCTGTGGTCCAGAGAGACCCAGGTTCAGTTCCCGCTAAGGGCACGTACCTCGGTTGCAGTTTGTCCCCGTCCCTGGTTGGGTCATGCGGGAGGCAGCCACTCAATGTATTCCTTTCAGATGGATGTTTCTCTCTCTCTCTCTCTCTCTCTCTCTCTCTCTCTCTCTCCCTCCCCCATTCTTTCTGAACAAAAAATAGAAAAATGTTCTCGGGTGAGGATTAAAAAAAAAAAAAAGTCAAAGACTTATGAAAAGGCCTTAACTAAATCTAAACTAACCAGTATCTTTACTCTCTCCCTGAATAATAGGAAGACCTTAGATGGCCTTAAGACTAATTTTTCTCTTTATAGCTTAGATTTTATGGATACGATTTAATTTATATAATACAATATAATATAAATAACAGAACATAATACATAAAAACAGATTAGGCAAGCCCCAGTAATAGCCCATTTAAGGTCCTTTTTATACTTCTCATTTGGGTGTCTACGATGAGATGATATGATGTGAGCTGTCTGTGGGACAACTAAAACACTGGGCAAACGGACTGGCCGGGCTCAAAGAGGGTGTGCACTGTGATGGGCGGAGGAGAGTGCTCTGCTCTGCCTCCGTGTGGCTCCTCTACCATTGACTGGTTGTGCTCACCATTAGAACCTCACTTTCTCCATCTGGAGGGAGGCTGGTTCTGAGGCTCAAATGTGGTCACGTCTGTAAACCACTTAGCATCCTGCTTCATGCACAGTACCTGTGAGCCGCTATCCTCCTTCTTAGTGTCCTCTTGGCTGGGTCCTTGGCTTGTGGATTTGAGAGCCGGAAGAGCATTTTCAAGTCTGGTGCTGTCCTTATTTTAGAGGCAGGACATTGAAGGCCCAAGTCACACACTTTCTGAGCTTTGGTCCTCATATCTGTGTACCTTAGAGCCCGGCTGTGAGGATCCTGAGCCAATGGGTGGAAGAACTTTTACGTGTGTGTGTGTATGTACATGTGTGTGTGTGTGTGTGTGTGTATATATTTTTTTTAATTAAAAATTTAAAAAAAATTTTTTTAAATTTTATTTTTGTTACAGATGTTTCTCCTTTTTTACCCCATTGACACCCTCCTCCCCATTCCTCCCACCCCATCCCCAGCATTGTTGTCCATGTCCATTGGTTATGTACATGTATATTTTTAAACATAAGCCATACAATCACTAATTGTCTTGCCTGCTTAAAGACTTATGTATAATTTTATAAAGTAACATTCTGGTTTTGACATTAGAAAATCAATATCTTTTTCTCTCTTTTTAAAAATTTAGGTGTATCCAATTAAAACAGGCAGTCGATGAAAATAAAAATGCGCTTCAAAAATTAACCAAAGTAAGTATCACAGTCCCTCGTGTTCCAGAACACCTGTTTTCACAGATGCTTCCATGCAGTGGGAGCTCACTGGAGTGGGGAAGGCCTGGTTGGCTCAGGGATGAAGTCTGACCCTCAGTGCTGACTCCCCACAGGCTCACCAAGGGTGAGCGTGGGAGCAGGAAAGCCCGGCTCCAGTTACTACCAGGTTCACCTCTGATGAGCTCACCCAGGTTGAGGACTCAGAGAGTCCAGAAGAAGCTGTTTTTATTTTGCGTTGTGTACGTTCTGCAGTTCAGGATCGTTTTCATTGAAGCGCCCTGGGAGGGAGCACGACCACCCTGAGGGCGAGCGGGAAGCCGGGCTGTGCGGGCAGCTCTGGCGTCAGCGGGGTCTGCAGAGGGCATCTAGAGCTCCTGGCAGTCAGGCCCCTGAGGAGCTTTCCTTGGAACGGGAGCCTGAGCGTCAGGAGGTGCCAGGGCAGAGACTCAGGTTCTGTGTACGACTCCTGGGCCGCGTCTGAGACAGGCATCACTGAGTCACTGAATTTCTCCAGTGACATGACGCTCTCACTTAGGAAGCACCCTGACCCTGCATTTGAAAACCGAATGGCCCGAGTTTCCCAGATGAGGAAACAGCTCCCAGAGGTGAAGCAGCCTTCCCAGAGTCTCACTGCCAAGAAGTGGCGGCACTTGGGATGGGGGCTGCCTTTATGACCACGCCTCTCTCCGCCTGGAGTGTGGCCCTTGCCAACTGCCCAGGGGCTGCAACACCGAGCCCGGGAGGGGACAAAACGCAAAACAAGTTACAGTTCACTTCTCGTATGGTTTACATTCCAACCTAATTGTCTACATTTCTTATTTATCCAAGGGTGGCCCAGTCTCATACTGGTATTTACTTTGCCTTCTAGCACACATTGGAGTTGTTTTTGTGTTTAAAGTAAATATAACAGGAAACAAATATGTCTTTCAGTGAAATGGGCTCATTTCTCCTAGGCCGATGAACCTGCACCTGTCGGGAACTATCAACAGAAAAAGGAGGAGGAGCTCAGTCTCCTGGACAAGCTGACCCACCAGCTGCAGGAACTTGCCGTGTCTGTAAGAAGAGACAGTAGAACTGAGTATGCTTCTTCCCTTCCTTCTTTCAGATATTATGTCACTGCAGTTTTAATGTTTCACTCAGGATACAGCCACATACAGCGAAATATAAACAAATGGCCATAACAGGATAGTCGATCAACATTGGTTTACTGAGTATAGAGGGAAGTGTGAGAGCCCAGGAGAGATGTGAGGACCCCAGTTCTGCTTGGTTGATGTTCAGTGACGTCAACAGTCATTCTGTATATTTGTCCAGATTTTAGAGCTGTTTCTGGTTGAAGGTTATGTCCAGCACCAGCTCTTTGTCATTCTCATACTGGAAATCAGTGGGAATTCTAGAGTCCTTGCACCTACATCCTTGGCATTTTCCCAGGATACGGTATAAAAATAAGGGACCAGCATTTGAGGACTCTGAATAGTTGATATTTTCCTTTCTGTTTCCCACAAATTGGGTTTGTTTAGACCATCAGGTTTTCTTTCTGCGTTGCCAAGGCTATTATTAACATCCACTCCAGCAGAAAAACAGTGCATGTTTCTGCCTCCAGTTTTTAAAGAATATTTATGAAAGGAGGAAATATGTAAGTAGATGATTCAAATAATTTTTTCACATATGAACATTGACATTAAAGGCGGCATGTTTATTTTCAGACACTGTCACACATTTGTTTGCTTAGCTTTTCAGATCTCTGCTTTGTTTCCTCAAGATGATAAATTACCTGAGGGCAAAATTATGACTTTCTTTCTTTACATTTCTCATGGGATCTCACACTTTCTGCTTTTCGTCTTCGTAGGAACACTACACAGCACTTCAGCAGTATGTTTGGGGCCACTCTAAATGGCCAAATTGCCAACAAAAAGCACAACAGTGCTAAATTCTGGCACTAACTAGACTGCGAGGGCACTGTTCTCGGCGCGAGTGCTGGAAGAGAAGGCAGAGCGCCGCCTGTCTGACCTCAGCTGTGAGTGTGCGCATCGGGCAACGCACGCTTTTTGCTGCTTTGCACACATTTGGGAGTGACCCCAAAGTTCTGCAAGTGTTCACTTGGGGTTACAGATACATTCTAGCAAGTAGATGGATTTAGAGATATGGGATCTGCAAATAATGTGGATGGGCTCAGTGCAGAAGCGGACCTGTGACAGCCGGGGCGCAGGCACACGGGGTGGTACCATCCTGAAGTTCTGTCCTTTTGGCTGAAGTGTCATGTTAATTCAGGTTAGACTATGATGAGCCGGGGATGCATATTGTAGTTCCTAGAGCAGTCACTACCAGATAAGAAAACGTAGTGGCTAAAATAACAACTTATATGACAAATAAAATGAAATCCTAAAAGTGGCCGTTTTAAAGGTAAGCTTCTCTAATAAATGTAAACTGTAGGAGAGGAAAGACCTCTGTTTTGTCGTTGTATCCCAAGTACATGGTGTCTGTCACACTAGGTGCCTGGAAACATCAGATGACTTTGCTGAATGCTGAGTGAATACATAAAGCTCAGAAAGACTGAGTGACTCACCCCAGCCAGGAGCGTTAGAACTCCTCCCCCTTCCCTCACCTCCCTTTTCCCGCCTTCATATCTTTCCAGAATGTCTTTCTCTTCCTCCCCAATGCTGTTTTCTTAGTCCAGACTATTGTCATGTGTCACCTTTTTAAAAAAAATACTCACCTGAGGGTATTTTTCCATTGATTTTCAGAGAGAGTGGGAGGGAGGGAGGAGGGGAAAGAAAGAGGCTGTCTCCCACACGACCCCGACCAGGGCTGGGGACCAAACTGCAGCTGAGGTACGTGCCCTTGACTGGGAATCAAATCCGAGACTCTTTGGTCCGTGGGCTCTAACCACGGATCAGAACCCTCTAGGGGTATCATGTGTCACTCTTTTTTTTTTTATCCTCACCCGAGGACATTTTTCCATTTTTTTGTTCAGACAGAGAGGGAGGGAGAGAGAGAGAGAGAGAAACATTGATGTGAAAGGGACACATCAAGTGGTTGCCACCCGAACAACCCAACCAGGGCTGGGGACAAACTGCAACTGAGGTACATGCCCTTAGTGGGAACTGAACCTGGGTTTCTCTGGACCGCAGGCCGATGCTCCAACCGCTGAGCCAAACCGGCCAGGGCATGTGACACTCTTAAGAGCCATCTTTCCTTTAGCCCTTCCTCCAGGCTGTTCCCCTCATTGTAGCCATCTTTCTGAAGTGCAGAACAGACCTGCCCTTCCCTTACTTCCTTCTTAGGGACTGCCTTAGAGGGGACGCCCAGGTGGCTGCATTCTGCGCAGCTCTGCGCAGCCTCCTGTCGTTTCTCTAAGCCTTGTCCTACCATTCATGACCTTGAGGCTCCCTGATCTCGAGCCTCCTTTCTCTGCTCCCTCCCCCTCCTCGCTACCTGATTAGCTCCAACTCATCTCTCAAGACCTAACTGAGAACTTCCTGCTCCCCACCCAGGCAGTCTAGATTAGGTGTCCCTCTTGTGCAGTGGTTCTCAACCTTCCTAATGCTGCGACCCTTTAATGCGGTTTCTCATGTTGTGGTGACCCCCAACCATAAAATTATTTTTGTTGCTACTTCATAACTGTAATTTTGCTACTGTTATGAATCGCCATTGGAAATATGTGTTTTCTGATGGTCTTAGGCGACCCCTGTGAAAGGGTCGTTCCACCCCCAAAGGGGTCGCGACCCACAGGTTGAGAACTGCTGCTCTTATGTTTCCTGAGCATCCTCTATGTCCCTCCACTCCAGTACCTATTGAGCTGTATTGTATCTCTCCATTTTCTAGATTCTGAGTGTAAGCTCCTGAGGGTAGGGAATTGTGTCTGGTGTACCTTGGTAGCCACTGTGTCTGACATGGACCGTCATCAAGCTTGCTGTGGGGCAGACACTGTTCCAGACACTCAGAGTGGGTAACTCATCTAATCCTCATGAAGCGGGTGTTATTATTATCTATCTCCACTTCATCAATGAGAAATGCAGAGCTTATGGTTTACTGCCTATAAATCATCGTTATCACTCAACGAGAAAGGGTAGAGCCAGAATGTAAACTGAAGCTGGTGCTCTCAGGACTGTGTGCAGTGCTCAAGCAGCGCTGCTCAGTGGGTACACCCAAGACGAGAGTGCACATCTCTTGGCCTCTAGTCCAGTGCAAGCTCTACCCTGTCACTTACCTTCCTCAGATTAACTCCTTCACCACTCATCCCTCGAGTCCCATATTCTTAGCTAGATGGTAGAAACCATTAGCCATGCTTTCCCTTATTTCCTTTACTTGCCAGGAAATACGGGCCAAGTTCTTCTACGCATAGAAGTTATACTCATGCTTGATCTGATCTTAAATATTATTTCAAGTGATCCTTGCCATAGAATTATTTTTCTTCAGAATTGAGGCACTCATTGAAAGAGAGGAAGATGATGATTTCGCTGAAGATGAAGAAGATGATGATGACAAAGAAGAAAGTGAAGAAAGTAGTGGGGAGGAAGAAGAAACAGAAGAGGAAGAGGAAGAGGAAGAGAAACAGGAAAATGAATCTCAGCAACAGGCCACAAGTGGAGAATACATTGCTGTTGGAGATTTTACTGCTCAGCAGGCTGGGGATCTTACCTTTAAGGCAGGTAGAAACAAGACTGGAACCTAACCTCTGGGTTAATTTGCATACCTAACAGAATAGGGAGGCTCTACCTGTACACCTGTGTTACAGTCTCCTGATACTAAGTTTTTGAACACTCAAACTGTTTAAATAAAATAAGTAATAGTAGTGATTTAATAAGCAATAGTTGTGAAATTGTTATCAAAGTTACATGGTAGTAAAAGGGTAAAAGAGTAATCCTCTTCTACTTTTTATTTATTTTCCTTTTAAGACTTTTTATATTTTTTAATTTTATTTTTCAATTACAGTTTACATTCAATATTATTCTGTATTAGTTTCAGATGTACAGCGTAGTGGTTAGACAATCATGTACTTTGCAAAGTGGTCACTGTTATTTCAGGTACCCACCTGGCACTGTACATAGTTACTACAGTATTAGTCACCATGTTCCCTGTGCTGTACTTTGCACCCCCATGACCATTTTGTAACTACCAATCTGTACTTCTTAATCCCTTCACCTTTTTCACCCAGTCCCCTATCCACCTCTCCTGGTAACCATCTCTCTGTGTCTGTGAGTCTGTTTCAATTTTGTATGTTTGTTTATTTTTCTTTAGATTCTACATATAACTGAAATGTTATGGTATTTGTCTTTATCTGACTGATTTATTTTACTTAGCACAGTACTCTATAGGTTTATCTATGCTGTTGCAAATGGTAAGCTTTTATTCTTTTTTATGGCCAAGTAATATTCTATTGTATGTATGTGATATAGCTTTTTTATCTACTCCTCTATTGATGGCCACTTGGTATGCTTCCATATCTTGGCTATTGTAAATAATGCTGCAATGAACATAAAAAGTGCATATGTTATTTTAAGTTAGTGTTTTGTGCTTCTCTGAATATATACCCAAAAATGGAATTGCTGGGTCATAAAGCAGTTTCATTTTTAATTTGTTGAGGATAGTCATACTGTTTTCCATATTGACTGCACCAGGCTGCATTCCGGCCAGCAGTGCATAAGGATTTCCTTTTCTCCACATCCTCACCAACACTTGTGTATACACACACACACACATACACACACACACACATATATATAGCTATTAGAAATGTCCAAGATTTTACTGCCTTTGTTTTCTTCTATTATTTTTATGGTTTCATGTCTAACATTTAAGTCTTTAATCTATTTTGAGTTTATTCTTGTGTATGGTATAAGAAGGTGGTGTAGTTTTAATTTTTTGCATATATCTGTCTAATATTCCATCCACCATTTATTGAATAGACTGTCTTTGCCCTATTTTTGTATGTTCTTGCTTCCTTTGTCATATATTAATTGGCCATGTAGTCATGGCTTTACTTTTGGGCTCTCTATTCTGTTCCATTGATCTATGTATCTGTTTTTATGTCAGTACCATGCTGTTTTAATTAATACAGCCTTGTAGGATAGTTTCTTTCTTTTTCTTTTTTTGTTGTTCCTTGTAGTATAGTTTGATATCAGGTAACTCTGACTATGTTTTTCCCCCCTCAAGATTGCTGTGGGTATTTGGGGTCTTTTGTGGCTCCAAATAAATTTTGGGATTATTTGTTCTACTTCTGTGAAAAACGTCATTGGTATTTTGATGGGGATTGCATTGAATCTACATATTGCTTTGGGTAGTATGGACATTTTAATGATGTTAATTTTTCCTATCCATGAGCACATATATGCTTTCATTTATTTTCATCCTCTTCAATTTCTTATACATTTTTGAGTGCAGGTCTTTTACCTCCTATGTTAAGTTTATTTCTAGTTTTTTTTTTTTTTTTTATGCAATTGTAACTAGGATTGTTTTCTTAGTTTCTCTTTCTGATAGTTCATTATTGGTGTATAAAAATACAGCTGATTTCTGAATAATGTATTTTGTACCCTGCTACTTTACGGAATTCATTGATCAGTTCTAGTAGTTTTTTTTAAAATTTTTTATCCTCACTTGAGGACATTTTTTTCCATTTTTTGTTCAGATAGAGTGGGAGGAAGAGAGAGGAAGAGAGAGAGAGAGAGAGAGAGAGAGAGAGAGACATCGACGTGAAAGGGACACATCGAGTGGCTGCCACCCGCATGACCAACCAGGGCTGGGGACAAAGTGCAACCGAGGTACGTGTCCTTAGTGGGAACCGAACCCAGGTCTCTGGACCGCAGGCTGATGCTCTAACCGCTGAGCCAAACCGGCCAGGGCTCTAGTAGTTTTTTTGATGGACTCTTAGGGTTCCCTGTATATGATATCATGTCACCTGCAAATAATGACAGTTTTCCTTCTTCCTTTCTAATTTGATACCTTTTATTTCTTCTTATCTGATAGCTGTGGCTAAGACTTTTTGTACTATGTTGAATAAGAGTGGTAAAAGTGGATATCCCTGTCTTGTTCCTGATCTTAAGGGAAATGCTTTTAGTTTTTCCTATTGAGTGTGTTAGCTGTGGGTTTGTCATAGATGATCTTTATTATGTTGAAGTATGTTCCCTCTATTCCCACTATGCTGAGAGTTTTTATCATAAATGGGTGCTGGAGTATGTAAAATGCTTTTTCCATATCTATTGATATGATCATATGATGTTTATACTTCATTATATTTTTAAAAATAGTTATAGTGTTGATAATTCCTATTTTAGGGGTAAAATTTAATTTAAAAATTTTTACTTTGTTTTGCTTTAAGAAAGGGGAAATTCTCCTTATAACTGAAAAAAACTCTGATGGTTGGTGGATGGCCAAGAATGCCAAGGGGAACAAAGGTCTCGTTCCCAGAACCTACCTGGAGGTTAGTGTCTGTTCTGTTTCCTCCTTCGACACTTTTTTATTTTTCATAAAAACTAAGCTGTATTCTTGGATACTGACCATTGAATGACTTGAGATATAGAATTTGCTTAAATTTTGAAGGGACAGGGCATGGGGAAAATGCTGTGTGTTAATAGTCCTGGGACCTGTGAGTGTTCTCATGCAGGTGAGCCCTAGAATGTTATCCCGCAGTGAAGATGCTTGTGAATTAGTGCTGATCATTAAAAGTTAACAGATGTGTATTATTTGTTGTAAATCAAAACTATAGTTTACTTTGTGTTAACTGCCACATATATATAATCCTGTACTAGGATATGAATATACCATACATTCATGTTGTAACCTGTTGTTTTTCATATTTCATGATATAGCATGGGCATTTTCTATGTCGATAAAGATAGGTAATCTGTCTGGATCAGGGCTGTTTAATAGAAACCTAAAGCAAACTACAAATGTAATTTAAAGTTTTCTAGTAACCACACTGAGATGTTTTTTATTTTCCTGACACCACTTCTAACACCAACTATGTGGCTTTTCTCTGACACCAAATATGTATTGTTTTCCACACCAATTGTCTGAAACCAACTAGGTGTCCAACAGTTCAGTTCCATCCTGACACTAACCCTGGAGTTAGCAGACTTCACCAGTTAAGGGCTCAGCCCACAAACTTCCCTACTTCAGATGCCAGTCGCAAGTCCCAGGGGCTGCCGGTGCTTGTGAGTGACTAGCTGTAAAGTCAGGAGTTCCCACAGCCCCCTCAGGTTTGATAATTTGCTAGAGGGACTCACAGAACTCAGGAAAACACCTTACATGTGTTTGTCAGGTTATGATGAAGGACCCGACTCAGGAAGAGTCACCTGGAAGAGGTGCACAGAGCAAAGTGCTGCAAGGTGGAGGGGGTGGGACCTGGATCTTCCATGGCCGCTCTGGGTGCCACCCCCTTCCCAGCACTTTGAAGTGGTCACCAGCCTGGAAGCTCCCTAGACCCTGTCCTTTAAGGGAGATTTCATTATATAGGCATGAGGTTAAATCCCTGGCCGCTGGTGATTGAATCCGATCTCCAGCTCCTTTCCCTTACCTGAGGGTAGGGCGAGCGTGCAACAAAAGTTCCAGTCCTCTCATCCCAGGGTTGGTTCCTCTAGCGAACAGCACCTCCTTCCATCACCTCATTAGCATAAACACAAGTGTGGTTATGAAGAATAAAAGACACTCTGTCAGTCAGGAAGTTGCAAGAGTTTTAGGAACTCTTTCCAAGAACTGGGAATAAAGACCAAATGTATGTGTTTCATTATACCACACGTTACAAACAGTAAGAAGAAACGTGACATGATTTTTAATAATATATTTTATATTATTGAACATATCAAAGTATTACCATTTCAACATATAATCAATCAGTAATAAAAAATTTTATTTTTCTGCCCGGCCGGTGTAGCTTAGTGGTTGAGCGTCGACCCATGTAGCAAGAGGTTGCCAGTTCGATTCCCAGTCAGGGCACATGTCCAGGTTGTGGGCCTGATCCCCAGTGGGGGGCATGCAGGAGGTGGCCAGTCAATGTTCTCTCTCATCAATGTTTCTATCTCCCTATCCCTCTCCTTTCCTCTCTCTCTAAAATCAATAAAGAAACTAATTTTCAAAAGAAGAGATGGAGATTCAGCGGTAGACAGCCTGCAACCTGTGTAAACATCAGTCTGTCCGGCATCTTTGTAGACTTCTCTCATTGTACCCCTTGGATAAAACCCCAGATGCTCAGTGCTGGTTCAGAGGGCTTACCCCTTCATATGTGGATTGAACTTGCTATTTTGCCTTTCAGAAAAGTTAGGCCGCTTTGTATCCCACCCCAGCATCGAGAAAACATGCCTCCCCACACATTTTTGGTCATGGTTATCACCAGTCTTTCTGCCAGTGTGGTTGGCAACAAAGGCTTGTGATTGTTTTTATTTGCATTCATTGTCCTGCTAATAGGGTTGCATGTCATTTCACATGCTTTATGACCATTTCTGTTTCTTCTTTGTAAGTTACCTTTTCAGTTCTCTTGACCATTTTTTCCTAAGGGATTTTAAAAACTCTTATTGGCATTTTAATATTAATATTAATATTAATATTTGTAATATTAAAAAAATTTTTTTTTTCTTTATTGATTTTAGAGAGAGAGGAAGGGAGAGGGAGAGGGGGAGAGAGAGAGAGACTCATCCATGGGAGAGAACATTGGTCGGCCACCTCCTGCATGCCCCCCACTGGGGATTTGGCCCAAAACCTGGGCATGTGCCCTGACTGGGAACCAGTGACCTCTTGGTGCATGGGTTGATGCTCAACCACTGAGCCACACTGGCTGGGCAGTAATATTTTAATAATAAAGATATTAATACTTAGAAATTTGTGACAGATGTTCTCTTTGTTGACTTTAACCATGTTTATTTTTTCTTTTAAATCCTCACCTGAGGATATTTTTCCTTTTATCTTCAGATAGAGTGGGAGGGAGAGAGGAAGAGAGAGAGAGAGAAAGAATGAGAGAGAGAGAAAGATGGATGCGAGAGAGAGACACATCGATTGGATGCCTCCCACATGACCCCGACCTGGCTGGGGACTGAACTGCAACCAAGGTACTTGCCCTTGACTGGAATCGAACCCATGACTCTTTGGTCCGCCGGCCGATGCTCTAACTACTGAGGCACAATGGCCAGGGCATAACCATGTTTTTTTTCTTTAATGTAGCGAAGTCTGTCAGTGTTTTCAGGTATGATTTCTGGTTTGGGCATCATAATTGAAAAAGACTTCCCCATCCCAGGATTATTTTCTTCTAATGCTTTTAGAGTTGTTTGGTTCTACCATTACTTCTTTTTTTATTTGAATAAATTCCACCTGGAATTTATTTTGATTAAACTTGCTTTCTACCTCTATCCTTGTAATTTTTTAAACAATGAAATGATTAACCATGTGTTGAAATCTTACTCCCACTCATTTTTTTATGCCCATCCATGTAAATTCCCATCTACACTCGAGTCTCTCTGAAAGTTTTTTTATTGGCTTATTTTTGTATTAGGTAAAAAAGCACCTTATATTTCAATTATTTTCTAGCCCTGTCATAAAGAAGAAGGCCAAGAGTCAAGTGAGGAAGGCAGTGAAGGAGACGCGGAGGTGGGTGAGGAGGCAACAGAGGGAGCGCAAGTTAAACAAAGGTACGGAGGCCTGAGATGATATCAAAGTAACATGAATGAGAAGGTTAGGAAACTGTTTTTTACCATTGTAAATAATTTAAGAATTTTTTTGCAAGAGACAACTTGCACTTTGTGAACAATGCTTTTCATATTAGTATTTGCTTAAAGATCATTGCTACTGTAATTTTGTGATTATTCTTTCTTGGTTTCATCTGCATACTGTTGGTTTTCAGAACTTATTGATAGTCCTGGCTGGGTAGCTCAGTTGGTTAGAGCATCATCTAGATATGCCAAAGTTGTGGGTTCGATCCCTGGTCAGGGCACATACAAGAAGCAACCAATGAGTGCATAAATAAGTGGAACAACAAATCGATGTTTCTCTCTCTTTCTCGGTACTCTCTCTAAAAAACAAAGAAACAAATAAACAAAAAACACCACTCTCTTGCAGTTTTGGAAGGGAAAAAATGACCTTACTGACAGTTATGTGCTTTGTTCATTTAAAAAAATGTTTTTTCCTATATTGATTTTTAGAGAGAGAGGAAGGGAAAGGGAGAAAGAGATAGAAACATCGATTGGCTATCTCCTGCATGTCCCCCACTGGGATTTGGCCCACAACCTGGGCATGTCCCCTGACCGGGAATCGAACTGGCGACCTCTTGGTGCATGGGTTGATGTTCAACCACAGCCACACTGGCTGAGCTGTGCTTTGTTCTTTGATTAGTGAAGTTCCCTAACTGACTGAGTAGGTGTAACCTGGTTGTGCACTTACCTTGCTGTTTTGTCTCCCAGAACTGATTCTCACTGGAGTGCTGTCCAAAAAGCTCTCTCAGAGGTTGGTATCTTCTGTCTTCTTGATGACGTCTCACTTTGTTACCTAATAGTTATGCTGGAGTTCAGACTCAAAACTGCATGGAGACTTTGAAAGATAGTGTTGGATCTTAAACAGGGTGTAGGGCATGGACTGACAGAGCATAAAACATGCACGTCCGGTTTAGTGAGCCTGTGTTCCAAGGAGTGTTTCCCGTCAGCCCTTTTCTGTAAGGAGAGTCAATTTGAGAGCTTGGTAATAACTCTCACTAATTCTGTCTGCATTGTCTATCACTTGGGTTTATAAAGACTGCTATTAAATTGCAGTTAATATAAAAAATTCCAGAAAGGTCAAAAAAGTAAGAAATCATTCTAATCCCATCATTTAAAAATTGCATGAAATAGCCCTGGCAGGTTTGGCTCAGCGGTTAGAGTGTCAGCCTGTGGTCCAGAGAGTCCCGGGTTCGGTTCCCGCTAAGGGCATGTACCTCAGTTGCAGTTTGTCCCCGGCCCTGGTTGGGTTGTGCGGGAGGCAGCCACTTGATGTGTCCCTTTCACATCAATGTTTCTCTCTCTCCCTCCCACTCTATCTGAACAAAAAATGGAAAACTGTCCTTGGGTGAGGATAAAAAAAAAATTACATGAAATAAACATTCACTCTCTCCCCATAAGTAACCACCATTAGCAGTAACAGTTCTTGCTGACCTTTTACTCTGCTTCTCACTTACATGGACATGCTTGTGAGTGTGTGAGTGTGTGTGTGTGTACACGTGTATACAAAAAAACTATTGCATATTCAGTGCATACCGGTTTATGATATTAACTTATCTGTTACATGGCAGTGCACTGTGGGGCGGGACAGGAAGAGGGACATTTTGATAAGGGATGTGCAGGAGCACGGAGCTTGCCCACTGGGCGTGCCTCGTGGCTTAGGATTCAATCATGGCCTCCTCAGGAATTCGGGGTTAAATGGCTGTGTTCATACACTAACGTCTATACATTTGTGTTTTCCTTTTTTGGGTTGCAGTTGCTATAATGATAAAGACAATATTGTAGAAGTGAGGGAAATTAATAGCCAATCAATTTGCTTTTAGCATCTTCAGCAGATGAACACTGTTGATGTGTTGACCACGATGGGAGCTGTTCCTGCTGGGTTCAGGCCTTCCACGCTCTTCCAGCTGCTGGAGGAAGGTAACAGGTGTCTGCCATCCACCACAGACCTTCAGTTAAGCTTTATGTCTAATTTCCTTGTTTTAGCCAAAACAAGTTGTTTAAAAAGATGGTGAACCTCACATCTCATTGGTGCTCATCTTTTCCTCATCTTCCCCGTGACAGTGGGGAAAGGGCCCCTGACCCTGTCACAGGCCAGCCTGTCTACCTGTACTCTGAGCTCCAGCCTCTTTCCTTTATTCCAGAAACATGGGCTTAATTGTCAGCCCTTCCCTGTATCTTCAGCGCCCCCCCCCTTCCCTCATCAGGAGTGCTGGCACACCTGGTACCTCTAAGAACCGCCCTTTCCAGCCCTGTCCCTTTCTGGGTGAAGCTCCCTTTCTCTGCTTTTCTTCACAGCAAGATTATTCCAAAGAGTTCTCTCCATTTGCCTTTTCTGTTTTCTCACTCGTTCTTGGATTTCCCTGTACTTGACAACGCTTATCTGTAAGCACATTTTTTTTTTTTTTAATCCTCACCTGAGGACATTTTTCTACCCTTTGTTCAGGTAGAGTGGGATGGGGAGAGAGGAAGAGAGAGAGAAACATCGATGCGAAAGGGACACATCGAGTGGCTGCCACCCGCACGACCAACCAGGGCCGGGGACAAACTGCAACCGAGGTACATGCCCTTAGCGGGAACCGAACCCGGGTCTCTCGGGACCGCAGGCCGACGCTCTAACCGCTGAGCCAAACCGGCCAGGGCTGTAAGCACATTTTATTTATTTTTTGTTTTGTTTTTGTTTTCATCCTCACCCAAGGACATTTTTCCATTTTTTGTACAGATAGAGTGGGAGGGAGAGAGAGGAAGAGACAGAGAGAGAGAAACATCGATGTGAAAGGGACACATCGAGTGGCTGCCACCGCATGACCAACCAGGGCCGGGGACAAACTGCAACCAAGGTACGTGCCCTTAGCGGGAACCGAACCCAGGTCTCTCCGGACCGCAGGCCGATGCTCTAACCGCTGAGCCAAACCGGCCAGGGCTGTAAGCACATTTTAAAGGGTCGTGATGTTGGGAGAGGCTGCCTTGACTCCTGGAGTTGTGGAGTTATCTGTGGGAGTGCTGCTTGGAGGTTCCTCTCCACGGAGGCTTCTCTCGGCCCCCGAGAGTGCCCTGCTCCTTCCCTTCCTTTGGTCTCGGTAAATTCCACTTCCCACAGCAGCCTTCCAGGAGCCTTGTGGGTTCCCTCACCTCTCATCCACCTGAGCACCCTTTGTGGGTCTAAGTCAGCTTACAATGATTTATTCTCTTGCCTACTTCCTTTTTCAATGGTTTTCTCTACTCAACTGTGAATGAATGAGGGCAGGGCCACCTTTCTCTGCTCTCATTTAGATTTCTAGGTCCTAGCACAGTATCTAGCAGAGTAGGAACTCAAAGATGATTTCTCGAATGAATGTGTGATTGTATAGTAAGTATTCTTCATGACTAAAGTTTGAGAGAACAGTATAAAAATGGTTTTGTGTTAAAAAGTAAAATTGATGGTTATATATTTTTCTATATTTCCAAAAAATATTTATAGATTTCTTGAATCTTATAAAAATATTTGAATGGATCATCTTCATCACGGGCCACGTTATTGGCCTAAGAGACTTTCAAGGTCTTTTTTTTTTTTAATGTTTATTCACTAATATTTTATTTTATTTTTTTATTAATTAATTAATTTATTTTTGTTACAGATGTTTCTCCTTTTCCCCCCACTGATTCCCCCCTCCCCCCCTCCCCGCCCTGTCCCCAGTGTTGTTGTCCATGTCCATTGTTCATGCACACATGCATATAAGTACTGTGGTTTATCTCTCCCCCACCACCTCCTCTTCTGGGGATTGTCAGTCTGTACCCCACCTCCACGTCTCTGGGACTACCCCACTCCTCAGACTGTTATGTTCATTATATTCCACAAATAAGTGAGATCATATGAAACTTGTCTTTCTCTGTTTGGCTTGTTTCACTTAGGATAATACTTTCCAGGTCCCTCCATGTCGTCTCAAAGGATAAGAGATTTTTCTTTCTTACAGCTGCATAGTACTCCATTGTGTATATGTACCACAGCTTTTTTATCCATTCATCTACTGATGGACACTTGGGCTGCTTCCAGATCTTAGCTATTGTAAATAGTGCTGCTATGAACATGGGGGTACATATATTCCTTGTGATTGGTGTTTTAGGCTTCTTAGGGTATATTCCTAGAAGTGGGATCACTGGGTCAAATGGCAGTTCAATTTTTAATTTTTTGAAGTAACATCAGGTCTTTCTTAAAGCTGCTTGGAGATCAGCTCTTGTGTTTCTCTGTGTTTCCTCTTGTTTTAGTCTGTAAATCCCTGTTGGTGCCTCTGTCTTAGGAGGCCCATTCCCAGGAAGCAGCATGGCCTTTAGGATGTCTGTCTGTTTTAAGCATAACATCATGGATTTTTGGTTTTGACTTTTATTCCTTTCTTTGTAAGAAAATAAAGGAAAATTATTTTTGCAGGGACTCCATTTCGAGCAAGTTCCTTCCTACAGCCAGAGCTCACGCCATCTCAGCTGGCCTTCAGGGATCTCCTGTGGGACGCTAAGACAGGCACTGTAAGTGTAGTTACCAAGGTACAGCTTTTCCAGATGGTGTCATGGTTGCAAGTATACAAATAGCATGTGAATTGATGAATGCATTATGGGAAACAAAGAAATGGTTTCTATATTGTGATTTTGAAATACTAAGTGAGTGTTTCATAGCTAAGACAGTACTTGGGTTTGTGACTTCAATTTGTTTCTCTTCTCCACTGTTCTCTTCTTCCCTTGTTACTAAGGAAACTGTATCTATCTCAATCCTTCTTTGCCTCAATTTGCTCATCTGTGAAAAGGGAATAATAATAATACTTCTCACATAAGGTTATTGCCAGAAACGTGTGTGAAGGGCAGAGAACAGTGTCTGGCTCATGAAGACAACTCAGGAAATGTTAGCCAGTATCACCATTATTATTATTGTTTTTATTAGTGGTAGTAATAATATTATGTTAAGTAGGAGTGAGTACTTTTCGATTTTACTTTTTTTTTTTTTAGATTCCTTAGAGTAAAGGATTCCTGTATCCCCCAGTATTTGATGTAGGAAACACGGTTTCTTTTTAATTTTTTTTTTTTTTTTTGCATTTATCTTCAGATAGAGCGGGAGGGATAAAGAGGGGGGAAGAGAGAGAGAAACATCAGTGTGAGAGAGACATCAACTGGCTGCCACCCACACGACTCCAGCCAGGGCCGGGGACAAACTGCAACCGAGGTACGTGCCCTTAGTGGGAACCAAACCCGGGACTTTGGTCTGCGGGCCGACACTCTAACTGCTGAGCCAAACTGGCCAGGGCAGGAAACACTGTTTCATTCTCCTCTCCAGCGTGTTAGCAGATTGCACCGCATTGGAGCATTCACCTTCCACCTGTCCTGCTCCTTCTCCCACAGCCTCTTGGGGAGAAGGACCCCACTGTGGCCAGGTTTGTGTTGAGAGGTGGTGCAGAATGGTTGTGCTGTTTTTCCTCTGCACCTGAGCATTGTGTGAAACCTTCTTTGTATTAGTTACATTTTCTTGGAAGTCAACAAAGATGTTGTATTTGGCCTGTTTAGTGTACTAGTACTGGAATCAATGGTGTTTAATTTTATGAACTTATACTCAGCTCTCATTTCTTAAATTGAAAAGGTGACAGGCTGTTAGATGTTATCTTATTTTATCAATGACATAAGGTATTTAAAGGGGAGGACCCATAACCATAAGTAGAATGTAAGAATGGAAGATGTTTTTAAATTAGAAACCAGATGCCAATTTGTTTATGGACATTCTGAACTGTGTCTGTGAAGGAGAACCGAACAGCCATGGTCAGTACATTCTCTGCCAGAACATCGGTATAAGCAGCCGAGGGACAGGGTAGCTGAGTGCTTGGAATTGAAGCGAGGAGGAGCTGGCTGGGGACTGTGAGTGCTTGGGCGTCCCCTCCCTCACCCACACTTGGAGGAATGACGGTGGGGATGAGCCTGGAGCACAGCATCCACGGGCAGCTCGCACATTGTACCAGATAGTACTGCTCTTCTCGTCGCCATTTTTATAATTTACACCAAAATGCAGATATTTCCAGTATAAATCTTCCTAAAATTGTTACCTAAAATTTTGACTTAACTTAATCACACTATTGACAGTTTTCTTGTGAGTGTATATTTGTGTGTAACATTTTTTCTTTTATTCATTCTTTTTCTATGTACATTTTATTATGTATTTATAAAGATGCTTTGAAAATGAATAGTCACAAAAATAAACCTTGTTTGTAACTAATTTTTCTCTCAGATTAGGTCAAGGGCAAGCCGTGTTTCATTGAGTCTGACCCTCTGGAGCTGTAAAATGATCCCTGTGCCGGGAGCGAGCATCCAGGTTCTCAGCAGACACGTGCGCCTCTGTCTGTGCGACGGCGACAAGGTGAGCTTGCGGCGGAGACACCGGCTCACGTCAGGATGAGAACCTTTTGTCAATGCACTTGTCAGACATGTTCCTGCGGGGGTCTGTCTGTCTCTGTGTCCCTCAGTCTCTCTATGTATATGTATATGTATATGTATATGTGTATGTGTATGTGTATGTGTATGTGTATGTGTATGTGTGTGTGTGTGTGTGTGTATGTGTATGTGTATGTACATATGAAGTAAGACGTGGGGAGTGCAAACCTGTGGGTTCTGATGGCAGACTTCACTCTGGCTCTTGCCGTAGCTGCTGTGTGCTGTTGGCTCACACATCCAGTTAACTCTCTGAGCCCTAGGTTTTTCCCATGGACGCACTGATGCCTGCTTCTGTGCTGCATCACTTGGGGCTCCAGGGCAGAGTTGCCTGCTGGCAGATGCACCCCCGTGCCACCCGCACCCCAGTCAGGATGTGGGACTCCCGTGTGCCTTCTCCATGTGACTCTTCCTGCATCCCTGGGAGAATGATGTCGTCCAGTGCCAGACAAAGGCTTTGAATGACTCCTAAAAATTGTTTTGTGTATGAGACAATATCTTAACCAGTGCTTAGGAAGAAATGTGTAGCTTTAATTGCATATACTACTAGACAAGAAGAAAGATTTAAAATCAGTGATGTAAACCACCAACTCGAGGCTAGAAAAGGAAGAGTGAGTAAAACCAGAAGAAAGCCGAATGGAGGAAATAATAAAGGTAAGAGTAGAAATTAATGGAATAGAAAATAGATGAACAAAAGAGAAAATTAGAAAAGGCAAAAGTTTATTCTTTGAAAAGACTAATAAAATTGAGAGATGCCTACCTAGTAAGATTGATCAAGAAAATTTAAAAAGGGAGAGAGAAAGAAAGAAAACAAATGATCAATATCTGATGTGAAAACGGAACCTTATCACAGAATCCACAGGCATTAAAAGGACAATAAGGAGATTTTATAAACATCTTTATGCCAACAAATTTGACAATGTATATAAATAAATTTTCTGAAAACCATAATTTACTGAAGCTGACATAAGAAAAAACAGAAAATTTAAATAACCTTTGTTAGAGAGATTGAAACTGTAACGAAAAATCTTCCAACAAAAAAACCCTAGGCCCAGATGGCTTCATTGGTGAATTCCTCCAAATTTAAGGAAGAAATAATGCCAGTAGTAGACAAATTCTTCCAAAGATGAAAAGGAAACACTTCCCACTCATTTTATAGGGCTAGGAAAAACATAATGCCAAAATATGAAAAGACATTATAAGAAAAAAAATTATAAGAGCAGTATCCCTCATCAATATTTTTTCTTCTATTAATTTATTTTTGTTACAGATGTTTCTCCTTTTTTCCCCATTGACACCCTCCTCCCCAACCCCCACCCTGTCCCCAGCTTTGTTGTCTATGTCTATCGATTATGTGTACATGCATATCAGTTCTGTGTTTTATCACCCCACCCCCTCCTCTGAGGATTATCAGTCTGTACCCCACTTCCACGTCTCTGGGTCTACCATGTTCCTCAGACTGTTATGTTCATTATATTCCACAAATAAGCGAGATCATGTGATATTTGTCTTTCTCTGCTTGGCTTGTTTCGCTTATGATAATATTCTCCAGGTCCTTCTGTGTTGTCTCAAAGGGTAAGAGGTCTTTCTCTCTTACAGCTGCATAGTACTCCATTGTGTACATGTACCACAGCTTTTTTACCCATTCGTCTACTGATGGATACTTGGACTGTTTCCACATCTTAGCTATTATAAATAGTGCTGCTATGAGCATATGGGGTACATATATTCTTTCTGATTGGTGTTCCTGGCTCCTTAGGATATATTCCTAGAAGTGGGACCACTGGATCAAATGGCAATTCAATTTTTAATTTTTTGAGGTAACAGCATAGTGTTTTCCATAGTGGATGCACCAGTCTGCATTGCCACCAGCAGTGTACTAGAGTCCCCTTTTCTCCACACCCTCACCAACACTTGTTTGATGATTTGTTGATGGAGGCCATTCTGACAGGTGTGAGGTGATACCTCATTGTTGTTTTAATTTGCATCTCTCTGATGATTAGTGATGTTGAGCATTTCTTCATAGGTCTCTTGGCCTTTGTATGTCTTGTTTGGAGAAATGTCTATTCATCTGCTCATTTTTTAATTGGGTTCTTTGCCTTCCTTTTGTTGAGTTGTATGAGTACTCTATATATTTTAGAAATTAACCCCTTATCTGATGTATCATTGGCAATGATGCTCTCCCATAGAGTGGGTTGCCTTTCCATTTTGATGATTGTATCTTTTGCTGTGTAGAAGCTTTTTAGTTTAATGTAGTCAGTCCCATGTGTTCATTTTCTCCTTTGTTTCTGTTGCCTTAGGTGATGTATCAGTGAAAATTCTGCTGCATATGATGTCTGAAATTTTGTTGCCTACAGTTTCTTCTAGGATTTTTATGGTTTCATGAGTCACATTTAAGTCTTTTATCCATTTTGAGTTTATTCTTGTATACGGTGTAAGTTGATGGTCTAGTTTCATTTTTTTGCATGTAGCTGTTCAATTTTCCCAACACCATTTATTAAAGAGGCTGTCTTTACTCCACTGTATGCTCTTGCCACCTTTGTCAAATCTTAATTGAGCATATTGCCTTGGGTCCATTTCTGGGTTCTCTGTTCTGTTCCACTGGTTTATATGCCTGTTCTTGTGCCAGTACCAGGCTGTTTTGATTACAGTGGTTTTGTAGTATAACCTGAAATCTGGTAATGTGATCCCTCCTACTTCGTTCTTCTTTTTCAAGATTGCTGGGGCTATTCGAGGTCTTTTTTTGTTCCATATGAACTTTTGAAGTATTTATTCTAGTTCTGTGAAATATGTCGTTGGTATTTTGATGGGGATTGCATTGAATCTATAGATAGCTTTGGGTAGTATGGACATTTTAACGATGTTAATTCTTCCAATCCATGAACAAGGTATGTGCTTCCACTTTTTTATATCTTCCTCTGTTTCTTTTTTCAATGACCTGTAGTTTTCTGCGAATAGGTCCTTTATTTCCTTGGTTAAGTTTATTCCTAGGTATCTTAATTTTTTTGCCGCAATGGTAAATGGGATTGTTTTCTCAGTTTCTCTTTCTGTGAGTTCATCATTGGTGTATAAGAATGCCATCAATTTCTTGACATTAATTTTGTATCCTGCTACTTTGCCAAATTCATTTATTAAGTCCAGTAGAATTTTGATGGAGTCTTTAGGGTTTTCTATGTATAAGATCACGTCATCTGCGAATAATGACAGTTTCACTTCCTCCTTTCCAATTTGGATCCCTTTTTTTTTCTTCATGTCTGATTGCTGTGGCTAAGACTTCCAGTACTATGTTAAATAAGAGTGGCGAAAGTGGGCATCCTGTCTTGTTTCTATTCTTAAGGGAAATGCTTTAAGTTTTTGCCCATTGAGTATGATGTTGGCTGTAGGTCTTTCATATATGACCTTAATTATGTAGAGATATGATCCCTCTATTCCCACATTGCTGAGCGTTTTTATCAGAAATGTGTGCTGGATTTTGTCGAATGCTTTTTCAGCGTCTATTAATATGATCATGTGGTTTTTATCTTTCCTTTTGTTTATGCAGTATATCACATTTATTGATTTGCAAATATTGTACCAGCCTTGAATGCCTGGGATGAATCCCACTTGGTCATGGTGAATAATTTTTTTTGATGCATTGCTGGATACAATTTCCAAGTATTTTGTTAAGAATTTTGGCGTCTATGTTCATCAGGGATATTGGCCTGTAGTTTTCTTTCTTTGTATTGTCTTTTTCTCGTTTTGGAATTAGAATTATGCTGGCCTCATAAAATGAGTTTGGAAGTCTCCCTTCTTCATGAATTTTTTGGAAGAGTTTGAGGAGAATGGGTGTTAGTTCTTCTTTGAATGTTTGGTAAAACTCTTCTGTGAAGCCGTCTGGTCCTGGGGTTTTGTTTGCTGGTAGAGTCTTGATTACCTCTTCAATTTTCTTGGTTGTTATTGGTCTGTTTAAGTTTTCTATCTTTTTCTGCTTCAGTTTTGGGAAACTACGTGTTTCTAGAAATTTGTCCATTTTGCTTAGATTGTCGAATTTGTTGCCGTATAATTGTTCATAGTATTTGTTAACAATCCTTTGTATTTCTGTGGTGTCAGTTGTTACTTCTTCATTTCTGATTTTGTGTATTTGGGTTCTCTCTCTTTGTTTCTTGGTGACTCTAGCTATAGTTCCATCAATCTTGTTTATCTTTTCAAGAAACCTGCTCTTTGTTTCATTGATCCTTTGAATTATTTTTTTTGGTCTCTATGTCTTTTATTTTTGCTCTGATCTTTACTATTTCCTTCCTTTTACTTGTTCTGGGGTTTGCTTTCTAGTTCTTTAAGTTACTTAAAGAGGTTGGATAGTGTATTAGAAATTTTTCTTGTTTCTTGAGTTATGCCTGTAGTGCTATGAACTTCCTTCCTAGAGCTACTTTTGCCGCATCCCATAGATTTTGTGTTGTTGTGTGTTCATTTCCATAGGTTTCCAGGAAGTTTTTAATTTCTTCTATGATCTTCTTGGTAACCCATTCATTGTCTAATAACATGCTATTTAGCCTCCTTGTGTTTAAATGTCTTTGCAGGTTCTTGTTGCAGTTGATTTCTAGTTGCATGCCATTGTGATCTGAGAAGGTGCTTGACATGATTTCAATCTTCTTGAACTTGTAGATACTTAGTTTGTGTCCTAACATGTGGTCTATCTTTGAGAATGTCCCATGTGCACTTGAGAAGAATATGAATTCTGTAGTTTTGGGGTGTAATTCTCTGTAGGTATATATTAAATCCATTTGGTCTAGTGCTTCATTTAGAGTCTCTGTTTCCTTGCTAATTTTTTGTCTAGAGGATCTATCCAGTGATGTCAGTGGGGTGTTGAAGTCCCCTGCTATGATTGTATTGCTGTTGATTTCTCCTTTCAAGTCCTCCAGAAGATTTTCAATATATTTTGGTGCTCCTATA